ATCGGCACAAACATAATCTGTTGGCGCTTCGCGCGGATTTCTTGGATTCGCGCTGGGGCCCCCCGGAAGCGCCTCCGGCGACGCCCATGGCGCGCTCCGCGCGCCAGGGAGTGGCGTCCAGCGCAGATCCAAGCAATCCGCGCGGAGCGCCAAACGTTTATGTTTATGCTGTTTTTCTTCTTCTGAAGGAGACACAGCGTCTGCGGGGGGGGGAATTCGTAAAGGAACGTGCCCAGAAATGGCTTCAGACCGTGGAGGGTTCCTCATCCGAGGAGGGCGGCGGTGATGATATCCACGGCCAAGCCTCCACTGGAGTTCCGCCGGCTTCCAGGCCGTGGATTCTTTATCCAAGCGTTCCTCATCTCAGCATCGTTTAACCGATCCCTATCCCTATCCCCATCTACATCTCGAGCCCCACCGTCTCACCACCTCAGTTGGGGATATGGCCCTCGAAACCCGAAGAGACCAGCCTATATCCCCATCCAGGGGGGTAAATCGGCCAGTGGGGCCCAGCCCGCGCTGGTGGGGATGGGGATCGGTTAAACGATGCTCATTATCCAATGCCCTCACCGCGCGGCCGAGGCTGCTTGCTTTGGCCCCCTGTGGGGCCATGCGGCGCCCTGGTGAATTTCATGCTAGCATTAAGTCGGGTCTGTCCCTCTACAGGAGGAGTATTCAAGAAAAGTCAAAAAATAGCCAGGCGACGATGTTTTGATATTTTCTGCCATGTTGCGCATTTTTTGCGCATTCTTACTCTTCCTCCACAGTCCGCCTGTGGGGGGACATGCCCGACCTAATTCTAGCAAGCCTCTCAGGGCCTAAGGTGAGACAAACCATGCCCTCAGCACATCCAGATCTGCAGTTCGCGCCAGCACGTCGAAAGCAGACGATCCCCCTGCTGCAGCAGTGGCCGTGGGCTGCACCAGGGGGGGGGGGGGCCGAAGGCTGGCCGGGGAGTCGAGGACGTGAGTGGCTTCAGGAGCTGACGCGGGACGGGGGAGGGAGGGAGGGAGGGATACAGTGGAGACCCATGCCAAGAAGCAGCCTGCTTGCCTCCAGGGTGCCTTGGGTGTCTTGGGTTTCGATGGTTCTGCCATGGAAAGCGTCACGGTCCTACATCAAACATCCATCGACGTCCTGGGGTCTCAAGGTTGGGTTTCTTGTGGAATATTCCTTGTGGACTAGCCTCCGCTGTATGGAAGGATTGAGGTCTTGAGAGAGGGATGGGGACTGGGAGGGAATGAAAGCGGGAAGGGGAGATGGAACGTGTGACAGCAGCACACAGCGGAGGGAGCAAGGGGAAGCTGAGGAGGAGCGTGGATGGGGGAGGAGAGTAGAGAGCTAGGGGAGGGGGACGGGGATGAGGGAGGGGACAAGATGGAGGACAAAGGGATGGAGAGAATGATTACGAGACAAACAATTTCGCGCGGCACGTTGTGCCGACATACAGATGAATGTGCTGCTCATGGGGCCATTCTTTGGAAATCTGGTGCAGCATTGAATACGATGCACATTTTACCATACGTCACGTGCCAGCCCACCGCTCCGAAGCCGCGGTGAGAGACGGGGAGCTCACCCTCTTCGAGCTCTTGGGCAACAGGCGCGCCGACACCAGAGCAAAGGAAGGGGCTGCCTTCCACGCCATCGCAGAGCAGGACGCCATGATGTTGGAGGGCTGCCTAGCTCGGGCGAAGGAGGTGGCCAGGTGCGCGGCGGACCTGGACGTGCACATCACCGAGTCGGGTCTCAGGGACGCCTGGCCGCTCTCCGCACTGGACCTGGTGGACCTGGACCCCTTCGCCCCGTCGCCCGACCTGGAGCTGCTGCTGGGGGACGAAGAGTCGGCGGCCCGCGGCGCTGGTGGCGTGGAGGCCGCGGGGGCAACCGCGGCGAGATCTGCGGCAGCAGCGGCCAGCCAGGGAGCCCAGGCCCAGGTGAGAGCCGACATGAAGACCCACATGGAGGGTGATGCAGAAGACGGGCCCGACAGGCCCAGTGAGCCAGTCGCAGATGCGCCCAGCGCGTCGGCGGCCTTGTTTCGTGCTGTCCAGCGCTGCCGCGCGGACAAGGCGCATCGGGACTCGACCTCGGCCGCAGGCGCACAGTGCCCGCCCGCGTCGGCTGAGTCGTACCCCTCGCCCACTCCCTACGCTGGGGCCTCCCCTGTCGCGGTGGATGCAGACCAGTCTCGGAGTGCCCCCTCGGGCCCTGCTGGGCAGGCGGGCCCCCCAGAGGCTTCTTTTGTTTCTCCCGACACTGTCGGGTCTGGGAAGTCAACGGCCACCGTCTAAGGGCATCCCGTGTTTCTGGCAGCGATTGCCCTGAGTTTTTGGTCTGTGTGACGTGCTGGAAGTATTGCCTGAAACCCCAGTACTGTCACCGAGGCCTGGCCAAGGCTTGTGGAGGGGCCCAGCGCGCGGGCGACCCCAGGGCCAAACAGGGCTCCAGGGCGCAGGCGCGCAATGATTTCGCGAAATCGCTTCTGCCAAAACTCAAGCAGCCGATTGACCAGTTGACTCGGCCCTCGGTGGCCACCCGTGCCAGGTGGGCCGAGGCACTAGGCACGTCCGCGGGCTCGGAGGTCAGGGAGGCCCTTGGGGCCCCTGTTGACTCTCGAGCCCCCACTGTGGAGCCCCTTGAGGTGCGGGGACGGGCACCCGTCCCGCCTGCCCCAGTGAGGCTGTTCCGCCCAGGGCTTGAGGGAGCCCTAGGCTCTTTCGGCTTTGCCAGCGCTGCTGAAGCTCAGGAGTGTGGCAGGGCCGCCAGAGTGGCCAGGATCTTGGACCCCAGGCCCGTGGTCGGGCAGAGCGCGGAGTGACGGTGGCCGTGCTTCGGGGTCTGGTCCTGGCGGGCTGCGGGTCCGCGCAAGCATTGTTTGCTGGTCCGTAAGTCGGCCTCTGAATTTGTTGTTGCATGACACAGCCCCAGGGTGATAGGATTAAAAAATACGATGCACACGTCCACGGAATGCAGATCAAGCGCCGTCACGCATAAGAGTGCGAGAGAGCTTCGAGCAGATGTTAACGATCATCTTACGCCAGAGTGCGATGAGAACGAGCTCCTAGGACACACGACTCAACTCATGGTCGTGTTTTTTGTTGCAATCTGGAAGATCTCAGTCAGACAGACACTCGACATGGGATGTCCGCGGATCCTTCTACGTCGGGGCCAAGGTGCGATCCGCAACCTCACCTTCCCTCCACGGTGTGCGCGTGTGCGCGCGCGTGTGTGGGTTCTCTCTGGCAAGCTGAAGCGCTCGCCATGCAGCGTCCTTCCGAGGATATAAGTGTATATGCGAGCGTGTGCTCGACAGATTTAGTAGAATTTCTCCTCGCTTCCTCCTTCCGTCCTTCATCTTCGTCCTCTTCTTCATTTTTGTTATCATTTTTATGGTTATTATTATTGCCACTGTTCTGATTATTCTTCTCCGAGTCGTCCAGTACGAGCATGGTGGAGTCCCCTTCTCATCGGTTGGGAAGCTGGCAGTCTTCATTGTCGCAGGGCCCGATCTGAGGGAACAAGAAGACATCAACGCTAGCCCCGCACAGGTGTCGCCAGCCCACCGCAGGCGCGAACCCGCGACTCTCGGACGTGCCCACCAGGAGCCCGCACGAGCCACTCCGCTGTGGGCCCCTGGGGCTGGCCGAAGATCCAGGGCCTCTCACGGGCCAGGGGTGTCCGCGGTTCGGTTGCTTCGGCCCTGTCCGGGTCGGTTGCGCTCGGTCGGTGCGGCTCGGTTCGCTTCGGCCAGCTGCTGCGTCGCTGCCGAGTCGCTGCCTCCTTCTGGGCTGCCTCCAGAGGAGGAGGAGGAGGAGGAGGAGGAGGAGGAGGAGGAGGAGGAGGAGGAGGAGAAGGAGAGGGAGGGGAGGGAGGAGTGGGAGGGAGGGAGGAGTGGGGGAGGGGAGGAGGAGGAGGAGGAGGAGGAGGAGGAGGAGGAGGAGGAGGAGGAGGAGGAGGAGAGGAGGAGGAGGAGGAGGAGGAGGAGGAGGAGGAGGAGGAGGAGGAGGAGGAGGAGTGGGAGGAGGAGCTGTCGTTTCGGTCGTTGCTCGGTGGTGTTGGTCGCCGTGGGCGGCTCTTTGCCGTCCGGGGCGCAGGCCGGTGCACCCCGGCGGGGCCTGGGCTTCGCAAGGCCACCTCCCAGGCTGTTAGGCACGGCCGCACGGGGCCGTGCAGACCGGGGAGGCGGTCAGGGGTCGCATACCCTCCAGGACTCTTCGGAGGAGGAGAGGTACCCATTCCGCCACCCTTCCTTCGTCTTCCCCCTCTTGGGCCTCCTCGGAGGCCTTCGTCGCCACCGCTGGATTGGATTCGCCTCGAAGTTCTCGTCAGGACGCACCCCGGGAGAGGTCCGGGGAGTAGCGGTATCGGTACCTCTTGATTTCCCCATCGGAGGCGCCCACAGGTCGCACACTCTCCAGAACCTTGGGAGCCTTTCCTTGCAACGGTGCTTCTGGCGCTCAGGATCAGTGCATGTGTGTGTGTGCTTGCGACGCGCGCGCGTGTAAATATGTCTGTGTGTGGTTTGTAGACTGGGCCGTCTCGGGATGTAATTTAATCCCTCATGCTCGTTGGAGAGTGCTCACGTCGCTTTCGAGAACGCCTATCGTTGTGCTGTCCTTTTCCCACTTTGGGGGCACTGTCGGTTGCTCCCTCGCGACACTAGTTGGCCTCGGCAGGCGTATTGGTCAAGACGGGTTGTCAGCGATCGCATGGTCCATACAGCCAGTTCCAACCATACGCCACCGCGATCACGTGTCTCCCAGCTGAATGCGTCGGTCTGGATTTCGTCTGGGAGGGGCCCAGAGACCAATCTGGAGATTTCGCATGTCACAAAAGATGCGCAGGTTGCTGATCGTGCCTCGTGGGCGGGGAGTACATGCCAGTTCCAGAATTCGCTGTGCCAAGGAACCAGCCATGTGCAGTTGTGAGTAACGCAATTGTGAGTATAGTCATCGGTGGAGTTCCCTACGGGTGCACGTAATGTGTGAAGGATGGGCCGAAATGGGTGCAGCGGGCGCATGCGGACGCAGCCACTGGGACCTTCGGTGGAGCTTCCCATGGGACCACGAAACGTGTGAGGGGTAGCCTCAAATGGGTGCGGCGGGCGCATGCGAGGGGAGCCACTGGGCCTTCGGTGGAGCTTCCTATGGGGCCACGAAGCGTGTGAGGGGTGTGCCGTAATTTGTGCGGTGGGCGCATGCGAGCGCAGCCTCTGGGGCCCTCGTTGGAGCTCTCTACGGGGCCACGAAGCCGTGCCGAAATTGGTGCGGCGGGCGCATGCAAGCGCAGCCACTGGGGCCCTCGTTGGAGCTCTCTACGGGGCCACGAAGCGTGTGAGGGGCGTGCCGAAATTGGTGCGTCGGGCGCATGCGAGCGCAGCCACCGGGGCCTTCGTTGGAGCTCCCTATATGGGGCCACGAAGCGTGTAAGGGGCGTGCCGAAATTGGTGCGGCGGGCGCATGCGAGCGCAGCCATTGGGGCCTTCGTTGGAGCTCCCTACTGGGCCACGAAGCGTGTAAGGGGCGTGCCGAAATTGGTGCGGCGGGCGCATGCGAGCGCAGCCATTGGGGCCTTCGTTGGAGCTCCTTATGGCGCCACGAAACGTGCGAGAGGTGTGCTGGCATAAGTGCGGCAGGCGCATGCGAGCGCAGCCACTGGGGCCGTCGGTGGAGCTCCCAACGAGGCAGGAATGGGAGGAGAGAGAAGGAGCGGGAGGAAGAGGAGGAGGAGGAGGAGGAGCAGCAGGATGAGGAGGAGGAGCAGACGCAACGATCTCTAGATCTATGTCCGTGCAACGTCAAACACAAGAGGAGGAGGAGGAGGAGGAGGAGGAGGAGGAGGAGGAGGAGGAGGAGGAGGAGGAGGACAAGGAGGAGGAGGAGGAGGACAAGGAAAGGGAGGAGAAGGAGAAAGAAGGAGTACGCGGGGCGCTGTCTCTTCAAAACGAGGACCCAACATCACAGGATGGTTGGGAACACCATGTGTTGGAACGCTGCTGGGACTCGAGGTCTGGCCGCCGCCGCCGCCCAGAATCGCAGCAGGCCTCGCTGGCGACGACGGGCATCACCGCCGTGTCCTTCTTCGCGAACATCGCCTCCGTCCTGAAGCCGTTGCGCGAGTTCGGCTTCTTCATGGGCCTGTGCGTGCTGCTCGTGTGGGTGCTGCTGTCAGGACACTCGGCGGGGAAAGGCGGGGGTGCGAGCCTGCGCTGGAAGGCCGCGTGGACATCGGAGGTGCAGGGAGGGGGAGGGAGGGGGACGGGAATGGAAGGGAGGCGGGAGGTGGGAGGAGGGAGGGCGGAGGTGCAGGGGAGGGAGGGAGGAGGGGCGGAGTGCGGGATGGGGGGGCGGGGGGGGTGGGAGGGAGGAGGGAGGAGGGAGAATGGAGAGGGAGAGGGAGGGGAGAGGGCCGGGGGGGGAGGGAGGAGCAGGGAAGGGTGGGGGAGGGAGGGGGGAGGGGAGGGGAGGTGCAGGGGAGGGGGAGGGGAGGGAGGTGGGAGGGGGAGGGAGGTGGGGAGCCCAACCCGGAGAGACGCCTGGTCTGGCCTTGGGCCGCCTCGGGGGGCCATCTTTTTGGGGTGGCCTCGGAGCGTATGGGGCCCTTCAGGAGCTGTCCGGGGGGGGCTCCCAAGCCCCAGGGGCAGGGCGGGGAACTCTGGGGAGCTTCGGGGGCCGCAGTGCGGCTGTTTCTTGCGGCACCAGGGCCACAGGATGTCTTGGGCCCTGTCGGGAGCCTTCCGAGGGGGCTCCCCAGTCTCGGGGGCAGGCGGGAGGACTCCAGGGAGCCTCTTGGGAGGTTTTTGGGAGTACATCGGGGGTGTTTGGGATGCCTGGTCGTACCTGGTGGGCCCTGCAGCACTCTGGGAGGTAAGGAGGGTCATGCTGAGCCCTCCTTGGCTCGCCTCCGCAGTGCCAAGACAGCCGTCGAGAGCGGCCCAGAAGTGGCAACGTCAGCTCAATATTGGAGGAAGACGCGGGGGGATATGGGTTGAGGGAGGCAGAGGAGGAGGAGGAGGAGGAGGAGGAGGAGGAGGAGGAGGAGGAGCTTACGATGACCCGACTGCCGCGTGGGGCCCTTGCATGACCCTGTGCCCCACGATTCGGTCATGAGATTCCGATGATGTCTCCGTGTGGTCTCAAGCTCAACAGTTGCCCGATGTGATGGCCCCAGCCCGTCGCTTGCTTCACTCATCAGGGGTGAAGGGGGTTCGGGCCACAAGTTGCGCTGGGCGAGGGTCGAGCCTAATTGTCCCCACCATGGCAGATGTACCCGTGATACGTTTCGTTGAGCGTGGGGGATTCGCCTGGGCCAAAGATGGGCAGCTTCTCCTCTCGAGATGTCAGCCCCCTAAGACGAACGCAGAGCGATCCCACTCTCCTCAGGGGGCTGCTCCCTGGGAGCCCTCACAGGCTGGGCCATCCTTTGCCCCTTACCGCCCTCCCCCTTCTGTGCCTCCGCTCCCCCCTGCCCCCTCTCCCCCCTTCTCGCTGGTTGGCCCCGTACATGAGGTCCCTGACCACGTGTCGTGGCGCGTCGGCTAAGCCCAACTTGACCAGGCGCACCTGGGGTCCACGAGGTCCGCGAGGTTGACGATGAGGGAGGAGGAGGAGGAGGAGGAGGAGGAGGAGGAGGAGGAGGAGGAGGAGGAGGAGGAGGAGGAGGAGGAGGAGGAGGAGGAGGAGGAGGAGGATATGAGCGACGAGGGACGCCTTCGGGTCGGGCGACACGAGGGTGGGCTGGGAAAGGGGTGGTAGTGCGACTCTTCTGCTGCCGCGTGCAGCCGACCCCAGCTCCGCCGCCAGGCCGCGCCTCCTCGACACCTGGCCGCCTCCCACCTTCACCGTCATGGGCGCGCAGCCTGCCCGCGCGAGGTCGCGCGCGGACGTGCCCTCGTTTCCGATGCAGCCTTCGGCGATGGCGGTCCGCGTGAGTCACCGCGTCAGGTCGCTGTGTCATCTTGCGCAAGACCCGCTTCTTTTCGTCGCTCCTCTGCCCACCCCCCCATGTGCTCCCCCCTCTCTCACCGCCCACCAGGCCACCCCCCCAACCCACCCCGAACGCCCCGACCTGCCCTCCATTTCTGGCGTGGGGGTGGGGTGGGGGGTCGGGGACCACCGACAAAAACACATGTGAAGCCCGCACCCCCCCCCAACCCGAAATTCGGGCCTTCGGGTTGGGTCGGGGTGGTCTGGTAGGTAGTCGCTCTCTCCCTCAGTAATGGAGGATGACGATTAATAAATGACCGGAGGTCGTGTTCACGCGGCGGCGCCCAGGATGACGATTAGAAAAAACCAGCCGCGGGCTGGAAAACTATTTTTTTAATCGTTCTCCTCCAGTCAGAAACTCGTACAGAAATGGCAGAAAACTATTTTTGTTACTCGTCCCCCCCCATTTTTTCCCGGAAAGGGCAAAGGCCCAGGGTTCTCTTTTAGTTTTGTTTCCCCCCGGTTTTGACGGCTGTAGGGCCGGCGAATTTCTTTTGCGATAAATAACGAGGTCGCGTAGGGCCGGCGAACTAAAACTTGAGGATGTCTCGAGCGAAACGCTTGTTTTTCAGAGTTTGTTGAGGATGTCTCGAGCGAAACGCTTGTTTTGTGTTATAGATTGTCCTCTCCTGGGGACCTGAATTCTGAGGACCTCTCGAGTGGATTGCTTGTTTTCACGTGCCCAGGTCTTGAGGATGTCTCGAGCGAGACGCTTGGTTTCACGTCTCCAGGTGGCCCAGACAGATGTCTAGCATGAGGATTTGTTGAGGATGTCTCGAACCAGAGGCTTGTCTTCACGTGTCCAGGTCGCCCAGGCGGATGTCTAGCATGAGGATGTGTCGAGGAAGTCTCGATCGAGACGCTTGTTTGCATGTGTCCACTGGACAGTGTCCAGGTTGCCCAGGCGGATGTCTAGCATGGGGATGTGCTGAGAACGTCTTGAGCGAAACGCGTGTTTTCATGTGTCCAGGTCGCCGCACAGCACAGCCCTCGGCACGGTACATCAATATCGATACCCTTAGAATTGCAGCTTGGCATGTTGCTTGGCACGTTCCGCGGAGCGTCCCGTGGCGAGTCCGCCTGGCACGTCGCGCGGTGCACGTCCATTGGCACGTTCCGTAGCGCGTCCCCTTGGCACGTCGCGCGGTGCGTGCCCATGGCACGTCCCTTGGCACGTCGCCTGGCGCGTCCTTTGGGACGTTCCGCGGCGCGTCCTCCTGGCATGTCCCCTTGTGAATTAGCTCTGGGGCAGCTACTATGTGTTCAGGCAGCTCGAGCTTAAGATCCAGATCATTTCGGTCAGGACTCGGATGCCAGGGTTGACTCGATCCACAACGCTATATAGAGCACAATGGCTGCATGGCACATCGTAATTCAGCACGGCCCAGCATTGCACAGCCGTCGACACGGTACATCAAGATCGATACACTCAATTATGCACCTTGGCACGTTTCTTGGCGCGTTCTGTGGCGAGTCCACTTGGCACGTCGCTCGGCGCGTCCCGTGGCACTTCCCGCGGCATGGCCATTGGCACGTTCCGTAGCGCGTCCCCTTGGCACGTTCCGCGGTGCGTGCCCATGGCACGTCCACTGTCACGTCGCCTGGCGCGTCCCTTGGGACGTTCCGCGGCGCATCCTCCTGGCATGTCTCCTCAGTCGAGTTAGTTCTGGGGCAAGAACCATCTGCTCAGGCAGCTAGAGCTTAAGATCCAGATCAGTTCGGTCAGGACTCGGATGCCAGGGAGGACTCGATCCACAACGCTATCTAGAGCACAATCGCGGCATGGCACATCGCAGTTCAGCACGGCGTAGCACAGCACAGCCCTCGGCACAGTACATCATCATCGATACATTCAGCATTGCATTTGCCCGTCGCCCAATCAGGTGTCTTTGAAACGTTGCCATGCCTTATATTTCTATATTCCTTTCCGGGTTCGTGGGTCGATCATGTTTATGAATCGTCATCCCGCAGCACGTCCGCCCCGACGCGCGCGCGGCGTGGCAGTCGGCCCGGGCCCCCGCGCGGCACCTCTCGCCCGCCTCGGGGCGCGCCCGCCGCGGGGCGCGCCCCGAGCGGAGCCGGCCCCGAGGGATCCTGGTGCCGCTGCTCGTGCTGAACGAGAGGTGCGCCCCCGCTCGGGGATGGGGCTCGTCCAACGACGCGAAGATCGGGACAAAATCGGATCGGGACAACTCGAAATCTCTGAGAATCGGCGGGTTTGGAGGATGTATTGGGCGCCGCGGCCGCTCCAGAGCGTTCCGGAGCGCTCTGGGAGCGCTCCAGAACGCTCTGGAGCGATTTATCCCGATCCTAGCCCTGTTTTACGGGGATGGGGCTCGGCAGCAAGTCATGGGAGCCTGGTGCACCCTCTGACCCATCGGGCGTTGAAAGGAGGCAGATTTGCATCCCCAAATTCCAATCTACCTGAAGCGCTTTCCTGCTTCAGCGATCGAGTGGCTTCACCTGTGCCGTCCTCCTTAGCGGGCGGGCGGGCCTTCCTACTTCATATTTCTATCTACTTTTTCCGACCGATGGATTATTCCGTCTCTAGCGTCGACTAGCGTCGATTAGCGTTCGGGATTGGGGAGTGGATGAGATAGCGCCGGTTTAGCGTCGATTGGCGTCGATTTTGCGTCGATCAGAGTTGATTTAGCGTCGACCAGCGTATATTCGCAAGAGCCGTCACGATGGTACGGGCGGCTCACATGAGTTGCCACCGAAGGGTCATGGGCAACGTGAAGGGGGAGATAGGCTCAGGGGTCGGCGGCGAGCGAGCGAGGGGGTGAAGCGAGAAGAAGAAGAAGAAGAAGAAGAAGAAGGCCTTCTCAGAAGGCGGCGGGACTTCTCAGAAGCCTTCGCGCCTTCTGAGAAGCCTTCTGTGTCTTCGGGGCAGGCTGAGAACACTTTTCCGTAGGCCGGAGGACTTCCGAGCCTTCTGAGACGGCCTCCTCCTCCTCACCTCCCCACTCGCTCACCGCCGAAGGAGGGGACGCCTCGACTCGCCGTCGCCCGTGCATCGCCGATCGTGGCCTGACAGATAGCCCACCGCGCCCAGCGGATTCGGTTGTCGGAGGCACAACGCCGTCTTCTACCGGCGGCACGTCGCCGATTCCAGGCCGATGGTTTCCCCCCGGAGCCGGCCACCCCCTGACGTCGCCCCTCGCAGGGGCACGGCTCGTTTCGCTTCCCACGATTCGGTTCGATCCGACTTCGCCGGGCTCCGATCCCGCTTCGGATCGCCTTCGGGCTCCGATCTGGGTCCCGAGCTCGCAGCGAGACCCTGCTGCTCTTCAGGAGGGAAAGAAACACACAGACACAATTAATCGTCGGTTTTCCAGAAAATATGGGAAAATATGGGAAGTGGGGGGGGAAGACAAAAACTCAGAAAATATAGGAAAATATGGGGACTGTTTTTAGTTGTGTGTATTTATTTGTGTGTCTCAGGGCCTCTTCAGCTCTGCCGATGCCCGCCGGCTCGACTCCTCCCGACTCGTCCGTCGTTTCTTCCGCCGAGCCGAGTCCTCTCGATCGCCGATTCGGCTCCTCGATGCGCGGGCGGGCTTCTCCTGCAGGGGGGGGCCTCCGCCCGGGTCGGAGCGGCCGCTGCTCTGCCGCCAGACCGCCCGTGCGGTGGGTCGCTGGCGCGCACGCGGCTGTTGGCCTCTCCCAGATCCCCTCGCGGTCCTCATCTGCACGAACGAAATGGGTACTCCAGATTTCGTAATAAAGGGAGGGGGGTCTCATTTCGGGGGGGGTCTTTTCCAAGCTATCTTCGAGGGCCTGGGGGGGTCTGGGGACGATGTATTGGAGGGTTCTCCCACGGGGGGGGTCTGAAATGGCTTGTCTTGGAGGGTCCAGACCCCCTCCCTTTTATTACGACATCTGGAGTACGGAAAGAATGGGTACAATGCCCAACAGCAGTTCCTTTTCATTTTGAGCAGGACTCGCTGTCCGCGCCGCCGCGGCCTGTGTCCATTTGAGACAGAAGGCCGCCTGCCCAACAGCGGCCGCTGTTGGTTTGGGACAACATTTGTTGTTGGGCATTGTACCCATTTTTTCCGTACCCATTTCGGGCGTCCAAATCGTAGAAAACCAGGACGGTGCACGGAAGCCTGCCCGTTTTCGGCCTCCCTCGCCCCTCAATTCAGAGGAGGCAGAGGTGCCCATACCTCTGCTCTTCGCTCGTGTTTCCCCTTTTTGAGGCCTCCTGGGCGGCCCTCGTCACCACCGCTGGATTCGCCTCGCAATCCTTGTCAGAACGCACCCCGGGAGAGGTCCGGGGAGTAGCGACATCGGTGCCTTTGGCTCTCTCCCCCATCACCAGGGCTGTGAGCAGCGGCTGGACAACCACGAGGGGGAAGGTCTTGCCCCTGCTCCGCCTCCTGGGTGCCTCACCGGGCCCCAGGGCGTGGACGGCCTGTCACGCGTGAGGGGTCAACGCTGCGTAGACAATCGCGGGGTCGGGTGCTTGGGCTCGTCGCGCAGCGTCGCGAAGAGAGTCCCAGGGTGGGCGCCGTGTGTCCCCCCCGGGCATGCTCGCGCTTGTCGCAGCCCCCGACAACACCTTGCTCAGCGGTGCCTCGCCGTTGTCGTTGTCCTCGTCCTCATCCTCACGTTCTCCTCTCACTTCTCCTCCTGGTCCCTGGCTCCTGGCGGCTGCAAGATCGTACGGATGTAGCCTCCCACTTGACCTCCATCTGCTCCTCCTCCTCCTCCTCCTCCTCCTCCTCCTCCTCCTCCTCCTCCTCCTCCTCCTCTTTGTCATCATCTCCTCTGACTTCTCTTTCTCCTCCGTTTTCCCCTTCCCTCGCTCCGCCGCATCTGGCAGGGTTAGGCTGGACACCTGAGTCCTGGCTGCCTCCCTCTGTTTCGCAACTTCTTACGGGCGGGAAGTCTTGGCATCTTCCTTCTTCGACTAGACGTTAGAGTGACCATTCGCCGGAGTGACCCTCGGTGCGGGCCCACAATTGGGCCTCCCGATCGCTGGACGCGAGGCGGCGGCAGCGGCTTGCGCGCCCGGGTTTGCCCCCCCCCGCGTCCCGCGTCAAGTCGCGCACCAGAGGTCACTCTTGCCTAAGGTTACGTCGGGCATGTCCCCCTACAGGAGGAATATTCCAGAATGTTCGTACTCTGTTGGTTAATTTTGATGATGCTGTTTTGACTATGTTCGACTTGTTCCTCCATGATCCGCCTGTGGGAGGACATGCCCGACCTAAACCTGGGGCCACTCTTTCGTGGAGCCGACTTCTTCCTGCCGGTGCGGCGCCTGGTGCTCCTCCTCCGCCTCCGCCTGCTCGTCCCTCCTCATCCTCCTGCTCGCCCCGCCGCTGCTGCTTCTCCTGGTCGTCCGCCCCCACGTCTGTCTTCTCGTCTCCTTCCTCAGCCGCTTGTTTCTGATTTGTTTTCTTATTCGCACTCGTATTGTGATTCCTCTTCTTATTGTTTTTCTTCCCATTATGAGTATGTTTATCATATGTCTTACATTGTTTGCATTATCATTACTACTAGTCTTATCATTCGCATTATTATTATTATTATTAACCGCACCTGCCCCCCTCCCGCTCCTGTTCTTCACCCCTTCCCTTCCCCCGACGGAAGCCGTCGCGTGCCTTTGCGCCACGATCGCGAAGTGGGTCTGGGCCAGAGGCGCGACCAGAGCGAGCGTCGTGCGCGAGCCCGCGGCCTCGCCCTAGGGGCAGTGCGGGGCCCACTGGAGCGCTGGCCGGCGCAGGACGGGCCCCCAGTCGCAGCGTTGCCCAGTGTCCCCTGCAGTAAGTCGGGCATGTCCCTCTACAAGAGGGATATTCAAACATAGTCAAACCAATCGTATGGGGACGATTTGTTTTATTTACCAGTTTTGTTCTTCCAGAATCCGCCCGTGGGGGGACACGCCCGACCTAATCCTTGCAGGGCCGGCGCCGTGCATCCCAAGAGGGCAGGCCTCTTGGGTCACTCCTTGGCCCAGACACGCTCCCCGCATCCAGGATATTCATCCTGGCGAAGGACCCAACCAATCACGTGCGGTTGTGAGTACCGCCGTTGTGAACATCACCCTCGGTGGATCTCCTCATGTGGCCTCGGGTTGGCGAAGGGTGGCACTGGGACGCTGGGTGGAGCTCCCTTCCTGGCCATGATCCGTATGAGGGGCGTACTGTATGAGGGTCGTGGTGAACCGCATGCAAACGTCGTCATTGCAGCCTTCGGTGGAGCTCCCCACTGGGGCAAAGATGTGCCGCAATGGGTGGCAGGGACGCATGCGGAGGGTGCCGCTGAAGCCTCCAGTGAAGCTCCTTATGTGGGGCCGCGAAGCGTGCGAGGGGTGTGGCCAGGGGTGGCAGGGACGCATGCGGGCGGCACCACTTGGGGCCTTTGGTGGAGCTCGCGGGTGTGCCGAGAGGGGTGGTGGGGACGCGTGCGGGCGGCACCATGTGGGCCTTGGGTGGAGCTCCCTGTGGGGCCACGGAGCCTGTGAGGGGTGCTCCGGAGGGGCTGCGGGGACGCATGCGGGCGGCGCCGTGTGGACCTTCGGCGGAGGTCCCTGTGGGGCGACGTGACGTGTAAGGGTGCGCCGAGATGGTTTACCGGTGCGGAGGGCAGAGGCAGGGGTGCGAGGAGGGAGGAGCGGGAGGAGGATGAGGAGAGGAGGAGGAGGAGGAGGAGGAGGACGAGGAGGAGGAGGAGGAGAAGGAGGAGGAGGAGGAGAAGGAGGAGGAGGAGGAAGAGAAGGAGGAGGAGGAGGAGGAGAAGGAGGAGGAGGAGGAGGAGGAAGAGGAGGAGGAGGAGGAGGAGGAGGAGAAGGAGAGGAGGGGGGAGGAGAGGAGGGAAACGGAGAGCAGAGAAGAGGAGAAGAGAGGAGAGGAGACGTGGGGCGCTGTCTCGTCAAAGCGAGGACCAACACCACAGGACGGCTGGGAAAAGAGACGGGAGGTTGTTGGCAGTTTGGGACCCCGAGGGCCTGCAGGACCGCAGAAATCCTCCAGGACGAAGCATTGGTCCCGGGGGCAGGGTCGGGACTTGCGGGGAGACCCAGTATTGACATCAGGACGTAGCATGTCTTGGCGTAGGCTTCCTAGGAGCTTCCGAGGTTTTTGGGGGGGGGCTCGGGGCCTCTTCTGGAGGCTCCTCGGGAGGCTGCCTGGCCGCCATGTGGCCGGCCCTGGGCCGTCGCACGCCCTCGGACGCCCGCTTGGGGGCCCCTCCGGGCCGACTCGGCGCCCTCCCCTGACCTTCCAGAGTGTTCAGAAATATAGCCCTCTAAGGAATAGCCCTCCAGACCTCCATAGACCCACCTGGGCTGCCTACAACCTCGACAGGACTTAAGACATCGAGGTCCTGGTGCTACTTCTTAGCCCTCCTGGAAGGTCCGGGTCGTGGGCCGCGCCGGGGCTCCGCCCTCGCCGCCAGGTGCTGCTGCAGCCTCGACGCCTGCCGCGCCTGGTGCTGGCTGGTCACCTGGTGCTTCCGCCGGCGGCCGCGCCGGCACCGGCGCAAGCCGCTGAGCGCGGCCCCCAGCCGGCCGATCCCGGAGGGGGGCCGCGGACCCAGACCCCCTACCTTGTTGTTGTGATTCGAACATTCCTGGGCTCTAAGGAACAATTCGTGGTTAGGAATGCCGGGACGGTCGGTCCCTGCTCAAAAGCAAAGAATGCGCCCCTAAGACATGGCAGTTTTTGGGGATTCCGAGTTTCCGGAACCGGCCAACCTGAGGATGAGAAGCAGTGTGCACCTTTTGGTGCGCCTCGGGGGCTCTAAAGGGGCCCCCATGGGGCCCGACGAGGGCAGGAACGGTGCACGCTTCTTCGCCCCGCCGTTGAATTAACCATCCCCCTCCAGTCGGTCCTCCGGGGACGTCTCTCGGGCGACTGGGGCCCCCAGGGTTCCGAAGCCGTACAGTGCTGGGCCCTGCGGTGAGGTCACTGTGGAGATGTCGGGGTCACCCCACGGTCTGTCACCACACCGTCTTGTAGGGCGACGGGAGCTATACATGTTTACTGCCTCGGGCATGGGGCAGTGGATATGTCGCCGCGCCGCTTGTCCCGATGCGCGGCCTTCCGTCTTGTGGAGGGCGCTCCGGCCACCAGGGCAAACGCCGCCTCGGGCGCGGCGGGTTTGCCGTGGGTTTGCCGCGTGGCGGCCCCGTCTATTTGAGGTGCGGGGCACAAGGTTTGCCTCGGGTTTGCCGTGGTGTCGGCGTCGTCCAGTTCGGCGCGTCGAGAACAAACGGTGCGGCGCTTAGCTGCCTCGGTACGCCCGTTTTGAAACGCAGCACGTACCATACTGAACGACCGTGTCAATGATTAAGGTGCGTGTTGGCTCAGCGTAAAGGCCCACGTTTTGGCGAACGTATCGCGTCATACCCACGTTTTCAGTCTACGCGTTGAGATTCGTAGCAATACGCTAAGTGGTGCGCGTTGCTTATCGGGGCAGCTACAGCGTTCCACAAAAGGCTGTGCCTCCGAGGATCGAAGGAGTTGCCATCCTTCCTGCGGCGGAAGGCGGTGGAAGGTCGGCGGAAGGCGGCGGAAACAAAACGGCGGCGGAAGCTCGGCGGAAGCCGGCGGAAACAATATTCGACCTCCCAAGAGAGGGACATGTTTTTGGGGTCAAGGTTTTGTCCGAAACCCGCCACATGCATACCCATCGGTCGTTGAAAATAGGTATTTTTAGATTCTCATATGCCAATCTACTTTTAACGCCTTTCTTCTTCAATGATCGAGTGGCTTCACAATTTCCGTCCTTCTTAGGGGGCGGACATCCCCAGGACGAAAGTTTTCTTCGGCCCGATCAGCGAGGTGGCGAAGCCCAAGCGCGGCGCCGAGGCACTGGTAGCGCCACCGAACGAGGCCGCAGGCTCGAACGACGGGGCCCCCAACGGCAAACTGCAGAACCTCATGTGCCGCATGCTCCTCCAGCACGAAGCCGCCCACCAGTCGGTTGCCCGAGACGACAACTTCACACTGACGCTCAAGGAGGGCGCGAAGATCGAGATGGCCCTGGAGCAAGGCTACCAGCACTATGTTGACGAGGGCAAGAAGGCACGCGAGGGCGACAACTTTCGCGGTCACCCCGAAGGCAAGAAGCCTGACGCGCTGTTCCGCATGATCATCTTCCGCCTCGCGGAGGCGGTTCAGAACGACTTAGAGAATGTGAGGCATGCGATCGGCCAGGGTCCGTTCGCGACAAAGGCGCTCGAAGGACTGAACGTGCTGCTGTGCTGGGGCCCGCTAATTCAGGACAAAGATACGATGGTCAAGTCGACGCGGTGCTTCGAGGTGGCACTCACCGAGGGCGGCGAGAACCAAGTACGCTGGACCTGGGCTTGCAACCACCACATCGATCTCAAGAACGCTCTGACGGTGCTGAGGCTCGACAACGGCTTGACTGCGGCGAACATCATGCTCGGCCACGATCACGGACCCCGCTCGAAGGCGGCCAAGCAGTTAGAACAGCTGGCGTTCAAGGGCGGTGCCGACACGGGCGAGAAGGGCGGCGCCAAGAAGCCCAAGCGCAAGTAGAGGCACAAAATCCTGGTTCGTCCAGGTTCGACGTCGCCACAGTTTTGCCTCGGACGCAACGCCAACCATCGATCGGGAAATATCCAAGCGCCAACGCACATCTTACCAGCTTTGATGACCAGCGTCGTTCCCATGGTGTGATGTTCGACGGTTTCGACAATACCTCGTGCATGCTCTCAGGCGTCGGCAGTATCGTTTTTTCTGGGCCAGTACGGAGCTACATCGATGAGGAGGGGTTCGGCAGGCAGAACCCGTTCGTCGCTGTGCTCAAGGGTGTTTGCTGAGGCCCCGAGGCGCCGCTGCTGCTGGCTGCCGCCGCTCTCCCTCCTCCCTCCTCTCGCGTTTGGTTCCGCTGTCTGTGCTTCGAATGTGAGGAGAGGGGCCACCTTACCCCAGAGGGGGAACAGGTGCCGCTCTCACAGTGCCGCCTCCGCATGAGGCGGGGGCGCGTGGGTGCGGGGTCGTGGCCTAGTTCTCGCCCTGCCCTCAGCGCTCCCGTTCGGGCCCGACCTCTCGATATGAATAGCCATATCGTGCGCCGACCTTCGGTGGATTTTACCCTAGGCCCCTCACGAAGCGTCCCTCTGAAGGCTCTTGGGCGCAGTGCTGTGAAAAAAAAGGAAGCGATATTCGACCTCCCAAGAGAGGGACATGTTTTTTGAGGTCAAGGTTTTCTCCGAAACCCGCCACATGCATACCCATCGGTCGTTGAAACGAGGTATTTTTAAACTCTCAGATGTCAATCTACTTTTAGCGCCTTTCTTCTTCAATGATCGAGTGGTTTCGCAATTTCCAACCTTCTTAGGGGGCGGACATCCCCAGGACGAAAGTTTCTTCCTCTTGGGCCTGGAACGACGGCTTGCAGGCTTGAGCAAACGCGCATGATATTACCGCCGTCGGATCACGTGAAGTTCGCGCGGATCCAATTGTGGCTTTGGCGTTTGCTTCGGTGGATCCGATTTCCGTCCGCGCGGATCCGATTTCGGATTTGTTGGATCCATGTTCGGTCTTATTTGTCACGGCGGATCCGATTTTTACCCCGTTGAAAAGTCATATTATCAATTTAAACGGGGAACCGGAAGAAATCGGATCCGCGGACCCCGGAACCCGCCCGTGTTAAGACTCTACGGAGGATGGGGGGTCCGAACATAAATTTCCAACTCATCTTCGCCATTTGCACCTGAAAAGGAAAATCTTTCGTCCTGCGTAACCAAGTACGTCACCTTTCTACCTACAGCCAAGTCGCTGAAATTACCCTGGCGACGTACCCAACCCCTGCGCAAACGCGGGGCGCAAATAGTTTAGGACAATTTATGAAGGGGGGCGATGACGGAGCGAGGGTTACATATGTATGCAGACGGAATTCGGGAGACTCGCAGGACACTGGCTACAGGACAAGGACTTGATAAAGCCGATTAGTTACAATCCCTGAGCACTCCTAGCCACTTCGAAAGCCGGGACCTCATATCGCAGCCCCCGAGAGATGGCGAGGTCTAACTTGAGTCTGCGGCGAGGTCCCAGAAACAATAACAGTTCGAGGATGATGTGATCGAGGACCTGACAGCAACTCACAAGGCATGAAGGGCATCTCGTGAGGAGCAAGCTGTTCCTCTCCCCTTTGTCCCCCTGCAAATGATGTGCAAAGCGCCTCGCGACCTCGCGAGCATCGCTGCTCGGGCAATGACGGGCAATGAGGATGATGACCGTATGTCAGGCGATACTTTTTGGCCCCGCCCCTTGCGATGGCCAAAGTGGCTCGCTACCCCGCCCCTGCGCTGCGGGTCCGGACGGGACAAGCCTGAATCTGCCGCGATTACCCTCTATGCTGGACCCCCCAGCAGGCCTCGAAAGTGGCGACAGTTTCACAGATCGCAGCCCCCAGGGATGGCGAGGTCTAGTTCGAATCTGCCGCGATTACCCTTTATGCAGGACCCCCCAGCAGGCCTCGAAAGTGGCGACAGTTTCACAGATCGCAGCCCCCCAGGGATAGCGAGGTCTAATATGAATCTGCCGCAATTGCCTTTTATGCCGGACCCCCCAGCAGGCCTCGAAAGTGGCGACAGTTTCACATATCGCAGCCCCCCAAAAATGGCGAGGTCTAGTTTGAATCTGCCGCGATTAACCTTTATGCTGGACCCCCCAGCAGGCCTCGAAAGTGGCGACAGTTTCACAGATCGCAGCCCCAGGGATGGCGAGGTCTAATTTGAATCTGCCGCGATTGCCCTCTATGCCGGACCCCCCAGCAGGCCTCGAAAGTGGCGACAGTTTCACAGATCGCAGCCCCCCAGGGATGGCGAGGTCTAGTTTGAATCTGCCGCGATTAGCCTCTATGCAGGACCCCCCAGCAGGCCTCGAAAGTGGCGACAGTTTCACAGATCGCAGCCCCCCAGGGATAGGCGAGGTCTAATTTGAATCTGCCGCGATTACCCTCTATGCTGGACCCCCCAGCAGGCCTCGAAAGTGGCGACAGTTTCACAGATCGCAGCCCCCCCCCCCCCAGGGATGGCGAGGTCTAATTTGAATCTGCCGCGATTACCCTCTATGCTGAGCCCCCCAGCAGGCCTCGAAAGTGGCGACAGTTTCACAGATCGCAGCCCCCCAGGAATGGCGAGGTCTAATTTGACAGCAAAAGTGGCGACAGTTTCACAGATCAGGCAAAGAGGCAGGAAAGAGGCGGGAGGCGGGAGGAGGAAGGACGCGACCACACTGCTCTATTCAAAACGAATACCCAACCAAGGAGGGTTGGGAATAAGGAGCAGTTTGGGTAACAAAAGGGGCTCGATGTTCGTTAGGCTCTTCTATGGCATTTCGTCGAGCCTTCCTCGGACCACGCAGATTCTTGTGGGGCCGAAGAGGGGCTTCGTTCTTCGTGTATCGTTCCTTCTTTCAGCAGCCCGACTGTACTTCTTCCGACCCATGGGTATACGTAGGTCGGGCCTGTCCTTTTACAGGAGGTATATTCGGAAGTAGTCAAAACACAGTCTGGGGACATTTTTTCGAGCATTTTTTGACAATTTTTTTGTGTGTGGGTCTTTTTCATTTTGCATCGACAATCCCCCTGTAGGGGGACGCATTTTTCGTCGACAATCCCCCTGTTGAAAAACGCGCCCGACTTAACCACGGGTAGACCCCGTCGCCACACCCCGGGGGGCACCCGAGAAGCTGCCGCCCGAGCGCAGGCCCAGGGCCTCCCGCGGGCGGCTGCGCGGTGCCCCCCCCCCGCGGCGTGCGCTCCGGGCGCCCCCCCTGGGGCCTCCTCGGCCCCGGGGGGCCCTGCTCGGTGCGAAGCGTCCTGGCTTGACTCTATCGGGTATGGGGACCCGGTTGGTGCTAGGGCCCCGGAGCTTTTGAATTGGCCAGAATCACTAAACCAGGTTTGCCATAGCTGGTGTTTTTTCGGGTGACGACAGTTCCGGTTAGTGGAATGGGACGGGGGGGCGCCCCCGGTACAGGTCACTAAACCAGGTTTCACTAAACCCAGTTCTGCCAACGCCCGGCTCTAGGCTGAAGTCGGGCCAGTCCTTCTACAGGGGGGATACCCCAAAAATAGTCAAAAGATAGGCGGGGGACCAGTTTTGGAGCATTTATTTGGCCTTTTGGGAGTCTTGTGTGAGCTTTTCCGTATTCTTCGTCGAGAATCTTTCTGCAGGGGGACGCGCCCGACTGAACTCTAGGCCCACCAAAGAATGTTCTAAGAACCTTTCGTGGTCTGCGCGACATGTTCTCAGAGCATGTCTGGCCGAAATTGAGTCTTGTTTTGGCACCTTCGGCTCATGTTCTAGGACGGAACACTGTTTTTGCTCTCAGACCACGTCTCGGTTCTGAGGATATCTCGTGGTAGGACTATAGGAATGCCGGGACCGTCGGTCCCTGCTCAATACGAGGCGCGGCATTCGCGACAGGTCTCGCCGAGTTTGCACTCGCGGTGGGATCATTTCGGCGGCCAGCGGGGGGGGGGAAGCGCGAAGGAGACGTGTCCTTCTCGGAAGGCGGCGGGGCTTCTCGGAAGCCCTGCGGCCTTCTGAGAAGTTTTCTTGTTTTTTCGGGGAAGGGATATAACTCGGGGGTGGACAGACCCCCCAACAGTGGCGCGTCGATTAGTGAATTGTCCGTTTTCGGTTCTCGAGAGGGCGCCGCGGCCGTTATTTTCCAGGCTTGCGCCCGCCAGGTTTGGGCCTCAGGTCCTTTTCACTAAACCACGTTTTACTAAAGGAGGGTCTGTCCATCCCCGAATAACATTCCTCAGACGGCCGGGTGACTTCCAAGCTTTCTGGGAAGGCCTGCCCCATTCTCATTTCCTCGCCAGGGCTCGCCGCCGATCGCTGGGATTTGTCGTTCGCGAGGGGATGCGCGGAGGAGTTTCCACGCATGTTCGTGCACGAACGGCCGAACCGTCGACCATTTTTGGTGGACAGAGTACAGTCGGGCCCCTGAAGAAGGAACCCTTTTTCGTTGGGGAGGGGCTCCGTGTTCCTTAATTGTTTCGCAGCTTGCCTTAGATTTTCCTTAGGGTTTCGATACGAAATTGAAGTTTAACTTATGGAAAATAGGGCCTCGTTCCTTATTTAGGGTTCCTTAGGTCAACGCCCCGACTGTGATCTATCAACCCTGGTATATTCAGACGGTTGGCAGATGGTTGATGGGTACCCTGCATTTCCATCATCCTTGTCATGAGTTTGCTGGTTGTTCCGTTGAGGTTGAGGTGTAGGTTGTTTGTTTTGTTGCTGTGCGTGCTTGTTGTGGTGAGGCTCGGAATGGGCAAGATGAGCGTTGTCGCGCTGATGCTGGGTGCTGACGTTGATGCCGTTTGGTGTTGGCGTTGGTATTGGTGTCGATTCTCGTGATGCCGATGTTCAGATCGACGAACGCCACACACAAGTGTCCAGGTTTCGTTCGTGTTCCTGGTCCGCGAAAACATTGACATACCACCTTAACAGACCAGTCTGTCAAATCGATCTGTCCAGTCTGATAAAGGTCTGGTAAGTCGATATGTGGTTCCG